AGCAGACATTCTACTTCAACAACTTCAAATATTTCGGTTTAGACGAGTTGGACAACAGTTGCGTTTGTCGTCGCCGACTATTTTCTTCATCTTCATGATTGGTGGATTGTACCCATAATGTTTCTTCATCTTCATGATTGGTGGATTTCGTCATCGCCTTTGATTTGCCTCGTCTGTCACCGACTGATTATTTCGCTGCCATGGCTACACAACTTTATCGCTGGGCGCTTTCATCTTCATTAATGGCTGACCTGACTACTGCCGACTGGTTTCTTCGCTTCCACGGCTGTGCAACTTCATCACTTTTGATTGGTATCATTATCTTCACTACCACCAATATTTTTGCCACCTCTGGTGGGCAATATTATCTCTATATTGGTCGTCTTGTCTCTATGCCAACTGCGTCAGCTACCATCAATGGACAATTGTGACTACGACAGAAGGACAAGCTATATGCTCAGGGGCTTACTAGTTCAAACACAAGTATCATACCTTCAATTTGGACTTGTTCCGGTTACATGCAACATGAATTCATGATCATGGGTCTATTTTCTATGCTCAAAGACTGGACTATTTATTATTCTCCGTAAGGGTTATCAACCGAATACTTGCGCCAGTCGGGATTCAATTTTTATATCTATTTTGGAGTATCCCATAAGGGATAATCACTCAGATCAGAAGCTATTCATATGAGCTACGCTTGGTCTATATTACCCGGAAGATTTATTACTCGGGAGCATGTTACATGCGTCATCCTTTAAAGGGTGTCGAGGGCATATGTTTTGGCCTAGGCCTAATATGTCTGCAGCCCATATTTTCAGGTGTGGCCTGTCACGTTCTTTTAGGGACTTAGGCACTTTTTGCTTAGGCCAAAGTGCGCGTGATCAAGTGCCCAATACCTTAAAATCCTTTTATACCGCAGTTACTCAACTTTTTAGGAGTTGGTACAATGCATCTTAAAAGGTGTCAAACAGTAAAGCTTTATATAGCTGCCCCGCTGACTTTTTAATATAGTCATGGTGCTGTTTGGGTTTTTAAGCAATTGATTGGATACAATATCGTTGCTTTTCGCCACGTAAGTGTGCATTTTTATTGGCCAATATTATGGCTTAGGCTGATTATATATTGTGGTCATTTTCTAGGCGGTTGGTAAATCCTTTATGAGTTTATTTACTCGGATTTTACACCACATATGCCGTATATTTCCAGGTGTGGTGAAACCATGTGTCTTCTAGGGACTTAAGCACATCTGTTAAAGCAGTGTGCGCATGGCGTATGCCCAATACTTTGGAAATTTCTTTATTCACAATATACAAGCTTCTTTATAGCTATTTTGCTATATCACTCATCATATTTTACAAAGCAGTCGGTATATCACTCGGATCATGTTATTCAGGGGTTTACACCGCATATGCTACATATTAATATCAAGTTGCTTGGTTAACTATAATTATCGAAGCCACTCGGTTGGTTGGATTATTTATTCCTTGACTATATGCTTGGTTTGTTCACTTAACCGCATAGTCGAGGGCTACACCTATTAGGTGCATCTAGTCGATGCACCTGACTTTATTTTTCAGCCCTCCACAGTCTTCAGATTTGGTAAAAGTACTCGGGAGATCATGACAAAGATGATTGAAGTACTCGGCCTTGGAGTAATCTGGTTCGAGAGAAGATTTTCTTTTCGACTGTGAAGGTCTCAGGGGCTATTGTGGAGATTATGGGTACCCCATACCCACACGGCATGGTTATCCGACTAGTTATAGGGGATAACTTATATGTATGGAATATGTAACAGATCATGACTTGGGTATTACGTTTCCTTATATATTACGGAACAACCTAAAGTCCTATTGTAAAGTAGATTTAGGAAACCAATACCGTATTGGTTAAGGTTTCTATCTTGTAATCCTGCCCCCCACCCTATATAAGGTGGGCAGGAGGCCCTCTAGGGGCATGAGACAATATGATCGTCAGATCTATACTACACCCGGTGGATTCAAATCCCCAAACAGGAGTAGGGTATTACCTCTCATTGAGAGGGCCTGAACCTGTCTAAATCCTTTGTCTCCGCATCCATCCACTTTTAGGTCTCGTGCGCTACCCCTTTTATTATTGCCGAATTCATGTTTCGACAATTTTATTTTTAAAAAAGCCGGCCTTAAAAGATCCGTTTGTAATAATTGGGATTCATGCCCAACAGATAAAACACGTCTATATGTGAAAATCGGTTTTTCACATCCGTCTGTATTAGGAGGCCCCACTTGAAGCCCAGACAAGCACAGAAATGAATTTAATAGTTATATTGATTTTTTAAGAAAAAAATTGAGCAATAAAATAAAATAAAATTATTTAATAACTATAAAGAGTGCTAAAATGTTGAGTTCTTTTAGTAGTAGTACTGTATACTCAATCCGTCCCTAAATATTTGACGTCATTGACTTTTTTTAAACATATTTGACCATTCGTCTTATTCAAAAACTTTTATGAAATATGTAAAATTATATGTATACATAAAAGTATATTTAACAATGAATCAAATGGTAGGAAAAGAATTAATAATTATTTATTTTTTTAATAAGACGATCGGTCAAATATGTTTAAAAAAAATCAACGACGTCAAATATTTACAAACGGAGGAAGTGCAATTGTAGTTGACGAACGTGCAGTCTATAATGTAACGTTACATAAGCATTTTTTTTATTTCCATTTCTTTCTAGCAATTGCGTGATATGAGAAAACCATTTTGTCCCTAAAATATAACATGCTGCACTAAGCAAACCAAGATTTAATGCTTTTTTTTGCACAGATAGTAAAATAAAGAGAACATTTTATTCCATTATTATCAGCAATGTCGCGGTGCGATCGAGCTGATGGAAAAAGAAAAAAGGACAATACAGTGTGCCGATGGCCCAGCCGGTGGCCCATGGGCCATGGCGCATTCAGATCACATGTTGTCATGGGCTCAGCAGCACATCACATGCTTTGGCTGTACCTCGAAGGGCCTGTTCACTTTGATGCCATTTTCAACCTTACCAAATTTTAGTAAAATTGTCAAAAAAAGTGGCTACATTTAGTTTGCTACCAAATTTTGATAACTATATAAGAAATCCTGCTAAAATTTTGATAAGTTGCCAAAATTTTGGCATAGTTGCTCTATGCCAAATTTTTGGCAATGCTAAATTTTGGTAAGGTTTTTTTTTCATCAAAGTGAACAGGCCCGAAAAAAAAAAGTACAGAATCGCGGAGGACACAGCACAAATTAACTTGGAGCTACAGTATTAGAGCTCCCTAGCTTACCACACTGACACTGTTTAGTTAGTACTCTATCTGTACCTTCAAAATAAACCTCAATCCTAGAGAGGAAATTTGTTGGGAGTCCAGATTCATCTCAGGATTAATTGGGCCAGGTATTTTTTTTGACAGGACGTATTAGGGCAGTCCCAACCCTCCATCTAGGATAGTGTCTATGGCATTAACTACATTGCCATGTAGGACTTTTAGCTTATTTGCCACTATATTAATTAAGAGAGAGAGTGAAGAGAGGAAGAAACTGGGTCTCATGCAAGACACAGCTTCAACACAAAAACCACTTATGCACTAGACATTATCAAGTTTTGCATTGGGAGAGAATAGTATCTTCATAATAGATGAAGAATAAATATGATTGGTAGAGAAGAGAGATGATGTATTTATTAATGGTCCACTTTAAAAAATTATGGGTTGTGAAGTGTAGTTTCTATTGTGATGTCTTATTGACATGACACCATAGACACTGCTTATGAACACTATGGGTTGGGAATGGCCTAAGGGTAGTCCCAACCCAATGACTAGAATTGTGTCATAGCATTAAATAAGCTACCACCTAGGATAAAAAATGATATGGCAAGTGAATAAATGAGGAAAGAGAAGGAAACCATGTCTTGCATAAGATGATTCCTACACAACATCCAAAACATCATGTGAGATAAGGAACATTAAATTTAAGTATGGAATAGTAGTGTTTGCATTGAAAGAGTAGTGTCTAGTATTAGTTTCTTGATGATGTGGAGTTTATGAAAATCATGTTTAATGTTTTGATTTAGTAAGCTACTACTAGTACAGTATTTGTACTGTTAACGAGAAACACGTGATTAATGGCTTTGGTCGTAAACAAAATCCGGCGAATCAGCTACGGGTGTAAGAGTAGTACAATCTTGAGGCAGGCATGTATCGATCGACGTGTCTCGTGCTTATTTTTCAGCTACTACTGGCTTGCTAGTCGCCAATTTGACAAGTGTAGTAACTAGTAGGTGAGATATGCTAAAGAGAGGCCAGTTTGGTTAATAATCTATCACTGTCTTGCCTGTCTAACTCGGGTCGTCGCCATGGTTTTGGCCGCGTGCACCGTAAGGCGATCGCTGCCTCCACGTAGCCCCCTTAACACCCCTCACCCGCCGACAATTCAAAACCTCGTCAGATTACCATCCAAATATCTGCAGCAATAAATCCCACTGATTTCTTGCGCCTTGATTCCTTTCTAACTTAATTGATATTCCTATTTTCCTTTTGATTGATCAGCTTCTTAGCTAGTGATATCCAAATATATGGCATGATCAATGAGGCAAAATGGAGAAGATTAAGGGCCTTTTTGAATGCAGGATTGTCAAAAAAAAGGAAATAGGAAAAAGGATTTGAATGTCATGTTCATTTGGATCTTCCTGTAGAATTTGAGAACACAGGAAAGGTTCAAAACTGTCGTTTGACACAGTTACACAGTAAAAATGTGGGAATTCATACGTTTGTTTCAAAATGGTCTAACTAGGAAAAATGTATGTACGTTAGGGAATGAAATGGCAGTAGATGATTGTTCGAACAAGATTGGCATGTAGATTGACGCAAGAAATCAGTAGGTGATTAGGAAGGAAATGATTATGAACATGGGCAAACAAATACTGGGGAATGCTGCATGTATATATATATTTTTGCTAGAACATGTGTAGTATACGTATAGTACGTACCCTGTTGAAGACCATGAATCCGAGGTCGAGGTCGACGGGGCCGGCGTCGCCGTCGACGGCCACCGTCCTGGCGTGCCCGCCGAGGCTGTCCTCCCTCTCGTACAGCGTCACGCGCACGCCGCCGCCGCCCCTCGCCGCCTCGTGCGCGGCAGCCAGCCCGCTCACCCCGGCGCCCACCACTGCCACCCTCGTCATCGTCGTCGCGCGCGTTGAGCACGGCGGCGAACCACCGCGCGATGGCACCGGCGAAGTGGCGCGGCGGCGGCGGCTGCGGCTGCGTCGCCGGTGAGACGGGCGGGAGCGGTGGTGCGGGGAGGGAGGAGGCGCGAGCGGGCGGGCGGGGTGTCGAGGACGAAACGGGGATGGATAAGGCTATAAGCGCAGGAGTGGCCATCCGGACCGTCCAATTCTTCACCCTTTTTTACTATACTACTGTTCATCGGAATTACTGTCTCGTGTACAGCTTTATATATACTCTATAATTAGTTTTCTAGAATGATACGGTCTCCGAAATATATATTTTACTATATTTTTCATTATAAAATATACAATTAATTAATATTTTTTAATTTTTATTATAATACTCTCTCTGTTTTAAATTATAAGATGTTTTGAATTTAGTTGTAGTCAAACTTTTTTAAGTTTGACCAAATTTATAGAAAAAATAGTAATATTTTCGATCCAAGATAAATTTATTATAAAAATATATTTAATTATTAATTTAATAAAACTAATTTAGTAATGTAAATATTACTTATAAACTTAATAAAACTTAAAGCAAATTGACTTTGACCAAAATCAAAATATCTTATAACCTAAAAGCGGAGCGAGTATTTTGTAAGATAAATCTATTTATGTTGTTTTAATACTATTAAACTAAATAGTTTTAAAGTTATTGATGGTTAAAAGTTATAAAAGTTTGATCTCAATCTTATTTAAAATATCAAGAATTATGTAACCAAACAAAAGTAGCGGTGTTTGAAAAGTAGGATTTTTTTTTTGAAACTGATGTACCGACAAAATTTAATTCAAAGTCTTCTGGCTGTTAACCACATTCGATTTGAGTTAGGAGAAAATTAACATGAATGCTTTGGTTTATTCTCCCAATGAGATCTTTTACGGTGCTTGGAAGACACCCCAGGTACCTCTCAAGCCAACAAGTATCCACCCTTCAATTTTGAATGATAAATTTAGAAACTAGAAAATAATTAACTTAATCATGGCATCATGGGTAGTTTAATACACCCTCCGTTTCATGTTATAAGATTTTCTAGCATTGTCTATATTAATATAGATGTTAATGAATCTAAATATATATATATATATATATATATATATATATATATATATATATATATATATATATATATATATATATATATATAGATTTATTAATATATATATAAATGTGGGTAATACTGGAAAGTCTTATAATATAAAACAGATGAAGTAACTGTTTGTCATGGTAATTCTACCTGCGTCTTAATTTCTCACACATGCAGCATATCCTGGCGTCAGCGTTGCTACCACCTATACGTTCACCCTGTTCCATCTGTTTGTTCATTTGTATTACTTCTATATAATTAGCTCTATATTTTCCTCTAATCATGCATGTATCGGTGTAGTGATGTATAAATACGAGAATTATATTCATCTGTAAAATCTTCAATTATTGACAACTAGTGATTGGGTGATGCTCGTTACTCAGTTCTGGAAATCAATTTATGTTAGATTGGGAAGTCGTGTTCTCGTGGATGTAAATAGGAATCTTCATATCAATTACTCAGATTAGTGAAGATGAATATAATGCAGCATTCCTTCGCCATCTCAGTGTGGCTGTTGGTAAAAGCAAGTAAATGAGAGACGTAAAAATTACTAATCCAGCCAGTGGCGGAGCTAAAAATTTAACCATATAGGATCAATTACTACCGCTTTGTATTTAAGTTGAGTCATCATTTCTCTAAATTTTTTAAATTTACACATTAAAATCAAGGTCTATAGGTGTGTTTTATAAAAAGCCGTGGGGTTAGCTGGTCCCACAGCTTATACATACATCCGCTACTGAATCTAGCCTTCCACGAAACCACTTAAGTTAATACCTGGCCCACATTTTCAATACCTTTTCATTTGTACCTTTCATCTTAGATCGTTAGATTACCGATGATCAATGGTTCTCATACATCCCAAGCACCTTAGAAAGTAGAGTAAATTTCACAAAACTACATATGCTATGATCAAATTATCACAAAACTACATATGTAGCTCGGTGTATCACAAAACTACACATTTAACACCAAATTTGTCACAAAACTATATATTTAAGATGAAATGTCACAAAACTATATGTTTAGAACCAATTTAGTCATAAAGCAATAATGTTTATAGCTCGAACATAACAATGGTGCTGGGGATTTAAACTCCAAAAGTTATAGTTTTGCTATAACTTTAATATTAAACATGTATTTTTGTGGTACTTAACCATAAATCTGTAGTTTTATGATAAGTTTAATGTTAAATATGTAGTTTTGTAATACAACGCTTTAAATATGTAGTTTTGTGATAATTTGGTCAAAATAACTGTAGTTTTGTGAAATTTACTCTAGAAAGTAACACCCTATGATTCGTCGGAGTCTACACTTTCTTAGCCGATTAAAGTGTTATTCTCTATCCATTTCATGAAAATAAAGCACAAATTTTTCCCATATTTATTTCATAATATACCAACTCGTACTCCAATTCCGATTTCACATGCCTGTGCTTCTGGCACGTCATTCCCTTCAACCCTTCACACAGTCGCTTCCCGCGTTTGTTCGCCTCCGAAATATATCTTTTACTATGTTTTTCATTATAAAATATACAATTAATTAATTTTTTTAATTTTTATTGTAAAATTTTGTAAGATAAATCTATTTATGTTGTTCTAATACCAACTAAATAGTTTTAAAGTTATTGATGGTTAAAGTTATAAAAGTTTGATCTCAACCTTATTCAAAATATCAAGAATTATGTAACCGAAGAAAATAGTGGTGTTTGAAAAGTAGGAACTTTTTTTTTGAAACTGATGTACTGACAAATTTAATTCAAAGTCTTCCAGCGATTAACCACCATTCGATTTAAATTAGGAAAAAATTAACATAAGTACTTTGGTTTATTCTCCCAACAAGATCTTTTACTGTGCTTGGAAGGTACCCAGGTACTCCCTCCGTTCTAAAAAAAAAGACAACTTATGAGAATATACTTGGACACATGCTTGTCCAGATTCATCTCCAGAAGTTGAATTTTTATGGGACGGAGTTTGTACCTCTCAGCCTCAGGTCAACAAGTATCCACCGTTCAATATTTTGAATGATAAATTAGACTTAGAAAATAACTTAATCATGACATCATGGGTAGTTTAGTAATTGTTTGTCATGGTAACTCTCCTGCGTCTTAATTTCACACATGCATCATGTTATGTTTTGGCATCAACATTGCTACAACCTTTTTTTTTTACGAAGGGAGTATACGTTCACCATGTTTTCCATCTGTTTGTTCATTTGTATTACTGATATATAATTAGCTCTATATTTTCCTCTCATGTATCGGTGTAGGGATGTATAAATACGAGAATTATATTCATCTACAAAATCTTCAATTATTAAATACTAGGTAGTGATTGGGTGGTGCTGATTACTCAGTTCTGGGAATCAAATTCTGTTAGATTGGGAAGTCGTGTTCTCGTGGATGTAAATAGGAATCTTCACATCAATCACTCAGATTACTGAAGATGAAGAATGCATCATCCCTTTCGCCATATCAGTGTGGCTGTTGGTAAAAACAAGTGAATGAGAGACGTAATGATTTTTCTTTTTGTCTTGAAACCACCGGAAAACAAAAACGTAATGATTTTCTCTTATTCTTTTGAATTGGCTTTAGAAGAAAAGTTACTAATCTAGCCTTTCACAAAACCACTTAAATTAATACCTGACCCACATTTTCAATACCTTTTCATATGTATCTTACATCTTAGATCGTTAGATTACTGGTGACCAATTAATGGTTCTCATACATTCTAAGCCCCTTAGAAAGTCTCTGAGCGAACACCCTACGACTCGTCGGAGTCTACACTTTCTTAGCCATTTGAAGTGTTATTCTCCAACCATTTCAAAAAATGAAGCATATTTTTTTCCATATTTATTTCATAATATACAACTCCTACTCCAATTCCCATTTCACATGCCCGTGCTTCTGGCACGTCGTTCCCTTCAACCCTTCGCATAGTTGCTTCCTGCGTGTGTTCGCCTCCGCTTCCACCTCCGCATACCATTCCCACTCACGTTCCGCACTTCCACCTCACGCCTCACAGGTACTTCCTCCGTTTCACAATGTAAGTTATTCTAATATTTCCCACATTCATATTTATGTTAATGAATCTAGACATATATATATCTATTTAGATTCATTAACATCAATATGAATGTGGGAAATACTAAAATGACTTATATTGTGAAAACAGAGGGAGTAGTTTGCACGCAGCACACACCAGTCAGGAAGGCTAGTCGGAGTCTAATCATATGAGAAGATCCCTCTAAATTCCAATCATCCAATCGAGCGGTGCTATTTTTATTAGCCTGCTTCATGTGTTTAACTAGATGATATTTCCCGCGCTTTGCTGCGGGAATTACTAAGCAATTCTCAGTATATTTTTTTTGACAATCAAGCTAAGAGTAAAAAAAAGGAAACATCAGGGTTTATCAGTCAAATGATACACGTGATTTAGTGTGAACAAAATTATAAGTATATGTTAAATATTATAAAAGTAATATATAGATTTGTTAAAATATTGTGCAAATGATATGAGGGGTGATGATTGAATATGCTTGTATTTTGATTTGTAGAATTAAATAAATTATAGAACATGTTGTATCCTTGCATGAGATTAAATATGTAATTATTGTTAGTGAGTGATGATGTGTCATAGTTGCATGTTGAGCTTTAGACTTAGTGGGCTTTAACTTTATAGAACGCATAGATTAACTCCTGATTGCTGAAAAGAGCTCATTCCATCACGGATCTGATGACAGACGCTAGCCATATCACTGAAATTCATTTTTCTGAAAATTCATCCAGTCCTTTTGCGATGCAATTTGATCATTGAGGATTTTTTTTAGTTTATGTTTATTCGATATTCTGTTTAGCCTCTAATATAATCTGGGTTTATCTCTTGTACAAGATATTTTCTGTGTAAAGCGTAAACAGTTATTCGTTTTAAACAATGAAATTGGTGTATCTCTTCTCTATCTGTAATCTCTACCTATATCTAATCTAACCTACTAGGTTTCTCTACTAGATTTGCAGGAGGTGACGGCAAAATGGAGCTTTAAAATGAAAATATATAACTGACAATGTTTTTTTTTCTTAAAAAAATTATGTTACCACCCACCAGCAATATGCTATATATAATCAATAAAGTATCTAAAATAATTGTATGACTTATTTTCATCATTTAGCGTAAAGTGAGTTTCTTGACCAGGATGAAGCGACCGCAACGTGATAGCCAACCATGCATGTGAGCCAAAGTATTAATATGTAATGTCCAACTTCTGCATTGAGATGTTACAATCCCAAATTTAGTATTTTCCGTACAACTTACACTTAGCAGATTAGGACTTTGATGGACTGGCCATGATATCATTTAGGACATGTTTGGATGGTCACTGTAACGTGGATTGACCGGGATATGGAAGAGGTTATATGGCCCCAATTTTCTCATAGTCGATAGCTTTGAGAAGTCAGTCTGAATACCTAAATTTTCCACCCGTCGTAAGGTAAACATCACACGCATCTAAATGTCACCAAAATACGCCATCACGATTACTTTTTCCTTTTGGTCTATCTAAGATTCCAAGCATCTGTCGATACATTTTGTGGTGGTTTATATCTACGTGTAATGTTTTAACCCCTGTGTTGGTCACTGGGCTACAATCCATGTGACAAAAGAGCCTAATTTCAGTGAGCACGTACTGCTATACGACTGTCTTTTTTACCGTACTCTTATTACAAAACAATATTGTTAACCGTTTCGTTTTAAGTAATAGAAAATCTAATTGTACCCATAACATGACACATCGATGTTAGTAAAAATTTAGTAAGAGCAATATACTCCCTCTGTTTCTAAATATTTGACACCGTTGACTTTTTAGCACATATTTGACCGTTCATCTTATTAAAAAACTTTTGTGAAATATGTAAAACTATATATATACATAAAAGTATATTTAACAATGAATCAAATGATAAGGAAAGAATTAATAATTTCTTAAATTTTTTGAAGAAGACGAACAGTCAAACATATTTAAAAAAGTCAACGGCGTCAAATATTTAGAAATGGAGGGATTAAGTACGTGCAGCATTTTCCAATTACAGTAGGAAATTGTCACACAAATGAAAAATCTACGTACCATGAACCCAAAATAGCACAATAAATCTTATATGAACCCACTATAAGTTTCAAAAATTGCAATGTAAAATTCAAACGTGCTATCTGTAGTTTTTCGGGTATGCTAGAACTAAAAAAACATAAATCGAAATAACGAATACTTTCATGAACTAAAAAAATGGTAGGCAATTTGACTTAGAAAAAAAATCAAATTAATAAATATCTCAAAAAAAAATACTGTAGAGGGTAAAAAAATGACTACAAATAAAAAGTAGTCATGCCAATCATAATTAAATATGCTATTTAGCTGTATTTGTTGTGTCAGAATTTTTGATTTAAGGCCTCAAAGGAGAAAATTTTATTGTCACTTGTCAGGCAGCTAAAGTGTATGTAAACAGTTTACAGTAGTTGTGACGATCCTTTGTGTAAACTGTGTACTACTCTGAAAATGGAATGCGCATATGTAAAGCTACACTAACAAATTGGAGCAATCAAACATATCCCAGTTACCACTGCCCTGGAACATGACAAGAGCAAGCACTGCAATTCACAAGTAAGCTCACAAATCATAGCACATCGGAGGCAATGAAAAACAATGGTTATACAGATTTCAGTAAAGGATGATCCAACATATTCAGCAAAATTCGATACCAAGAATCCAACATAAGCCTGCCCACCAAATCGACTGCAAATTTGGATCAAACTCAAATTTGAATCAAGCTCTGAAACAGGAAGGCAACAACTGTAAAGCTAACAACTAGTTGGACAAACCAATCATATCTCACCACTAGCCTGGAAAATGAAAACATCAAGCACTGCGGTTTCATCAGCACTCAGGATGAATATGATCACAATCCTCAAAAAAATAGCATCACAAAATGGATGTGCACACCCCAAAGCAACAAAAAATTGCTACAAATATGGTCCAACTTATTCAGCAATTCTATATCAAGAATCCAAGATATGAAGCCATATTCCCTCCCCCAAAACCAACCTCCAAACTCAGTACCAACAGTATCAATATTACCAATACCTAGCCATTTTTCATACTGACATTGAAGCAGATAGTTTCAGAATATCAACATTCCACCTATCAAACCAGATCAAACTGTTTTTTTTGTTTCTATCAATTCCATCAGATGAGATCAGAACCTCCGAGCCGACGAGCGAGTGCTGGCTCTCCTCTCCTTGGCCGCCGGCGACTTGGCGCCGGCGAAGGAGGAGGACGCGGCGGAGGTTTTCTTCATCTCCTTGCTGCTGCGCAGGGAGGACCTGAGACCCAGAGTAGATGTGGCGGCACGGCCGGCGGCGGAGAAGTCCGCCGCCGCCGGCATGGACCGCCTCACGGACTCGGCACCGGTCATCTTCTTGGCGCCGCGGCGCTTGGAGAGCTCGACGGCGACGCAGGGGTCGGCGGCCATCGCCTCCGCTTCCTCCTCGCCGGCGGGGAAGCCGTGCTTGCGCTTGAGCCGCTCGTTGCGCCGCGCGGAGTAGAGGTCGTAGAGCCTGCCCCTCTCGAACAGCGGGCTGGTCGGCGGCGGCAGCGGAGATGCCGTCCAGGTGGGCATGGGCGTGGGCATGGCCATGGCGGTGAGGTCCAGGGACACCTCGTCGTCGACGTGGCGGTTCTCCTTCCCCGCCGCCACCGCCGCTCTCGCCGGCGAGGGCGCCGCGGCGAAGTCCAGCTTCGCCCGCGGCGTCGGCTCAAGGCGGGACGTCGGGAGCGCGCAGAAGGAGGAGCGCATCGGGGTAGTTGCTTTCTTGATCGATCCTGCACAAAGCACAGGTGGAGAGAACACATCAAGAACAGAAACGAATGGCGGCGATTAGGATTCAGGAATCATCAAATCGGAAATCACAGAGGAACCAATCGAAGCGAAATAATCAGATGTTTGGCATCAAGAACTCGGGTGGGGATTCGTACAAGGAAACAAACCGATTTTAGGAAGGGAAAAGGGGAATGGTGAAATCAGAGGAAATCAAGAACAAACCGCGGATCTGCTCATCTCAACCAAACTCGTGGACGAGACCAACAAAATCCATCCCAGCCGAATCAAGGGGAAAAAAGAAAAATCCAGAAACCGGGAGAGGGATGACCAGACCACCACGTACCTGGCGGGGTCTGGACGGAGCAAGCCACGGGCGGGCGCGGGGCGGCGCCGGCGGCGGCAGCGCGGTGCGGGCGCGGACGGAGCCTGCGCGGGGAGACGGCGAGCGGCGGGCGGCGGTCCATGGATCTAACCACCGGTCGAACACCAACGGGGGAGACGAACTGAAAAAGCAAAAATAAAAAAATAAAAACAAAAAACCTCAGATCGAGAACAAGAACACGACGAGACGAGACGTAGTAGCACAGGAGGGAGGAGAGTCCCCTCGTCAACCTGCTTCCGGCGGCGGTGGCGGCGGCGGCGGCGACGAGGATGATTTTGGTCGGCGGGGGAGGGTTTCTCTCTCCTCGTCGGGATGGTGCGAGGTTTTAAGGAGAAGAGGCACACGCTCCAACGGTCGGATCGCGGATTTGTGGTCGCTGACATGTGGGCCCCAGTCGAGGGTTTGGATCGGTCCGACCCCGACTCGACCCGTCGACCGTTGGATGCTGGCTGACTTGCGGGGCCCGGACACGTGGCGGCATATGGTTGGATGCTGTGCCTTCGGTGGATGTGGGTGGGAAGTTGATAGGGTATGGGTATGAATGGATTGCGGTGTGGCCTGTTTTGAAGCCAACTTGGTTTTAGGAAGGGCGTCAATCATGGATGGAAATGTTTAATGAGTCGATAATAAAGGGAGGGAGTAGTGCTTGCCTATTTTACCGGAAGTCAATAGGGAAGGATGTATTAGTCATTACTAGTATGCTATATTTACTCCATATTAAATAAATATTGAGTGTAATAGTATTTTTTTTTAAGAATGATATTTCTCTTTAGCATTATTTAGCTAGTATTCTCGGTGTAGTTGTCTCCAAATATTAATCGTAAAAAAAACAAAATTTGAACCCATCAAGAGTGAAAATCCTGACGACCCATTCTCGTTGCGCTTACTGCTATAGGTCCACCTCTCGTCTCGTCCACGTTTATTGGTGCTCGCCGTAGGTAGTTTTTTTTAATACGTTTTACGTATTGGTCTCTTTTTTAAAATGCTACATCTAATTGAAACAGAATATCTTATTCAGTGAGTGATAAAATATGTTAAACAATATTTTGGTGAGACACTGAGACATTTTTTGACTAGTGATGAAACACCATCGGGCGATTCGCATCACATTGTACTTCTGGCCCGAAGTCAAGTCCAATTAAGATATAAGGCATATTTGATTTGAAGCAGTACCAAAGTAGTGCCAAAACTTTTTTTTATATATAAAAGAGTAGTATCAACTCTATTGATTTTAGTAAAATTGGCATCAATCCAAATGGCTAGTATATACTATTAAAGTTGTCAAATCATTGGAATGGTGAAATTTGGCATCAAACCAAGCATAACTATATTTTTTTTCATATTCTATCAAAGTGTATGGTAAAATGTAATTGATGAATATATGTCACCTTGTTGCATGTACTGCGGCGAATAGGACCATGGAAAAAATGAATTTTAGATGTGGCAAAATGAATAGTAAAAAATCCACTTATAACACATAACTAAACTTTAGTCGAAGTCTAAAATTCAAACATAAACTTTAAAATTGACACTAATCATCCTTCACTTTCGATAAAATAAACTTATCCAGATTAATAATGGTTTTCAAATGCTAAAAAACCATAATCACTGGTGGAGAAACCCTTTGTAGTCCCGGTTCGTAACCCCCTTTAGTCCCGGTTTCCAAACCGGCACTACCAATTCAGAACTAAAGATCGATCTTTTGTCCCGGGTGGTAACACCAACCGGGACTAAAGATCGAGCTGACCTTTTTTTTTTCATGGCCCTGTTGCTGCATGGTTTATATATATATATAAACCATGCATATATATATATATATATATATATATATATATATATATATATATATATATATATATATATATATATATATATATATATATATATATATATATATATATATATATGTTTCAGTACATATATATGCATATATATATATATATATATATATATATTATATTTATATATGTTTCAATACATATGTACATGCATAATATATATGTATTTATACATATATATGTTATGCAAATGCATATGTATATATATATATATATGACCAAAATATATTTACATTATAGAAAATGTGTACACATGCATATAGAAACATATGTAGTCATGTATTAATTACAATCCATTATATGTCCTAGCTAGCTACGATTTCGACGTAGTAGTAGTCGCTAGCTCAGAAGCTAAGGACCTATGAATTGTGTTTCCGTCGTAGTAGAATTCACCCTTGGGATCAAGGATTTGTTCGTTGATGAATCCCATAAGTTGTTCTTGAACCGCCGCGATAAATTCCTTGTGTGTGGTCAGGTTATCCCTCATGCGAATAAACTATATGAATGTATGAAATTGATTAGTAATTAAACAAGAAATCGATATGTAATGAAATTTTGAATTTATTTGTACGTACATCGAGCTCTCTTGTGGTGATGATTTGGTCTGCAAGGCAGTGGCAATACTCGCACACGTAATAGCCGTACAAGTTAGTTCCCTGCTTTTGCTTTGCGCACTACAAATAAATAACAAACAACGAGAGATCTAATTAATATACACTTGTATGTATTTGAATCGGAGAAATATAAATGTAGAGCATGTGTACTCACAGGAAATTTGAACTTCCGCCTAAGTCTTTCTCTCCATTTGCCGCGGACCAAATGACGGAACCGATACCAAGCCCTACATGGAGTTTAAAGCTATGATTCGTAGTAGCAATTAACATAACAAGATTTTCTTAATTAACAGAGGAACTTATGACGGTACCTGTCTATAAGTTCGAAAACCTTGTCAAACGTAGACTCTTTTTTATCCATTGAGTCATATACGTTGACGGTGCAGGTCGACAGGTCGAAGAGTAAAAGCACCCAGTGGAATCTGCAATGTGCGTGAGATGCATTACATATGAAACACTTAGCAAGTTCGTACGGGAATGAAATTTGGTATAGGAAGACAGTAAAATTAAACTAACTCTGTGTTGTACGGCAACAGTATGAACGTCTTGTAATGCTGCGCCTTCAGGAGATGGACGAGATTGTCCTCTGTGGCTTGCGGATATTGGTCGAGCATTGCAACGTTTACTTTCCGAGGGTCGATGAATCCAGTATCGAAAACCCCCCACCGTCGGGCCCTTTGAATCTCCATTCTACAACGATAAAAGGGAGTATATTATTTTCTATAGTCTACTTATATACAAGGACCTAATTAATTAAAGGAGACGTAGTAAGAAATCTAACTGAACGATATACTTACAAAATCCAGCAACTCATAATAGAGACATCGAGGGCATCCAGCTGGTATAGTTCGTAGATTCCCTTAAAATTGATCCAGAGAATGTCATCTCCTTGCAAGAAGTTCGTGTCCCTGATCCTCGCTCCGATCATCTCTCTACCGGTGGCGCTCATCTCCATGTACAGCTGATGGAACTTGTACATTTGTGTGGGTAGGGACTGCAGCAGCTCAGGCTTGACAAGCGGTTTACCGAGTTCGTACATGTATTTCACTTCCGCCTTTTCGATTGGTGCGACTCCTAGCAATTGATCCGTAGTTAGACCGGTGTCAGTAATAAATTCTTCTATCATCATTTCTTTACCGGTCACCAACGGCTCGATCTCCTGGTTTGGTTGCTCTCCAAGCTGAGGGACTGGTTTGGACTTTCCAGAAGATGCTTTCTTCAGCATTCGCTCATAGTCCGATAGCTTAATGGCCTCCTTGGCAGGTGCAGACATACCCCTGAAGAAGTTCATGACACTCGGGTCTATAGGAATCTTCTTTTCTGGACTTCGAGGCTTGAATTGTCTCTTGACTTCTGATGCTACGTAAGCGTCAAGCTCCTCTTGCGTGCAATCATACCCCGAGTCCTTGTTCTTGGCGGCGTCAACTTTCGCCTTCTTCGTTGCCCTTGTGTGGGCAGGCGGTGGAGCTTGGGGGGCCCTTGACTTTGAAGGTGCCGGAAGAGGAGCTTGCGGAGGAGTCGGTGTAGGAGCCTGAGGAGGAGTCGGTGCAGGAGCCTGAGGTGGAGACGGTGCTGGAGCATAAGGAGGAGACGGTGCAGGATCCTGAGGAGGAGATGGCGGAGCCGAAGGAGATGGTGCACGAGACGCCGCTTGTCGCCTAGGGAGGATGATGTAGCGCCTGCGCCATAGAATAATGGCATGGCTTGTGTCTCGTAGATGCGTCTCACTGTCTCCTCTAGGGTAATCCAGCTCAAGGTCCTCGTACGCACCTTCGACCAACTCAACTTCGACCTTGGAGTATCCTGCTGGAATCGGCCTGCAGTGGTAAGTACCTGAAGGGTCTGTTGGGATGGCCATGCTCGACGCCACCTTCATGTGGTGAGAGGTTATTTATTAGTAATCAACATATATAAGCAGCAACTAGCGGAATGGGCAAATCTAAAATATATAAACTATGAGCTTACCTTTATTGATAAGTTCTTGAAAGGAATATGCAGCTCACATGGTGTCCGCTGAGTGATGTCATCAACGGGGCAGGTGGATTCGTCCTGGGTTTGCATGGTGTCCATGCTCTGTGATCCTACCTGCCCCGTTGAGACGCAGCTGCTACGGTTTCCTGACGGGCTCACCATTGCAGGAGGAATGGTCGGCTGGGGATCATGGGACCGATGTGCGGCCATGCGTTCATCAGCCTTCCTTGCCACCTCCTCTTGCATGCTGAGCTCGTAGCTCGATACCCTGAACTCTAGATCTGCAATCTTCGCCTCGGTATCTCTCTTGCGCCTCATCCGACTCCTGTACGTGTGGATGTCCTCCTTGAACCCAATCTTCCAAGGAATCACCCCTTTCCCTCGTGTTCGTCCTGGATGCTCTGGAGTCTGCAGGGCGAGTGACAGCTCGTCCCTCTCTCTGTCCGGTCGGAACGTGCCCTGAGAAGAGGCTTCCACTGCGTCTGTTAGTCGACGCGCAGCCTCTCGTATCTGATCACCGAAGACCAGTGAGCCATCAGCTGGGTTGAGCGTTCCACCGTGACCATAGTACCAGAACTTCAATCGTTCCGGCCAATTAGCGGTGGCCGGTTTGATACCCCTCTCAAGCAAGCTAGCCTCCATCTCCTCCCACTTCGGCATCGCGACGCTATAGCCGCCTGACCCCAAGTGGTGATGGTACTTCTTCTTGGCGGCATTTTCTTTGTTTCTTTCCATCATCGCTTGCCCTTGTTCACCTGTATTATATGCAACGAACTCGTCCCAGTGATCCCTTAGCTTTGGGAATGTGTCGAAGTTCGGTGTCTGCCCCTTCAGGATATATTTCTGGTACAGATCTCCCTTGAAGCTCTGAAACTGTTCTGCCATTTTTTTCAGAGTCCACCTTTTCACTTTGTCCTCTGTACCCGCGGGAAGGGTGAATGTCTCGAGCATTGTGGTCCACAACATC